CAAGATTCAGCAAAATCGCACGGAGCGATTCAATCTGCTCCGCCAGTCGACGCCATCCCTCGTCCGCAGTCAAAGACGTCGTTTCGCCGACCTGTCAGCGATGAGCGGGGTCGAGGAGAACAGCAGCCGGAGGCAGAGGACCCGCAGCTCCAAGCAGCTCGTCCTCATCCACCTCAACCTCTTCCTCCGACGGAGGGTCCGGTGGGTTCCTCTTCTTGAGGTGCTTGGACATTTTAAAGGAATCGTCCAAACGGTCTCAAGAGATACTTCTGACACCAATGTAATAAAGGTCATTGAGGCGACTTCTGGAATCCGGTCTTTTATTCAACTTGCATTCCAGCTTTCCTTCACGCTGCTGACAGACAGCGTGAGAGGGATAGATAGAGAGAGACGCACTGCCACGTGGCAACCCGGATCCCCGCTCACGCGTGGCTCCTTCCTCCGTTCGTTCCCGTTCTCACCCTGTGTCGTTCGTCTCCACCCCTATTTAATACCCGGGTCACGTGGTACGTTTCCACCAATCTTGGTTAGCCTCCATGGAATATTCCAGGCTCCCTCGTAGGCTCCCGGAACCATCCCCCTGACTCATCTCCCCATTGGCTGTGGCCAAAGCTAGCAGAACCCATCCTCTCCTTACAGCTGTCACCTTTCCATTACGTCAGGGCGATGCCCCTAGGCTTCCCCCCATTGGCTATAAACCAGGACCGGCAGAGCCAATCATCATGACGAGTTGTGATACGTCAGTGAGCCAGATATATCCTCACATTACAGTAGTATCCACTGACTATAGTAGTAACTACTAACTCTATAGCAGTATCTACTGACTCTATCGTAGTATCTATTTACTCTATAGTAGTATCTACTGACTCTATAGAAGTATCTGCTGACTCTATAGCAGTATCTACTGACTTTATAGTCATTACTACTGACTCTGCAGCAGTATATACTGACTGTAGTGGAATCTACTGACTAGTATTATCTACTGACTATAGTAGTATCTACCGTTTCTACGGTAGTATCTACCGACTATATTAGTATCTATCGACTCTATCGAAGTAACTACTGACTCTGCAGTAGTATCTAATGACTATAGTAGTACCTACTGAATTTATAGTATCTATTCACTCAATAGTATCTACTGACTTTCGCAGTAACTACTAACTCCATAGTAACATCTGTAGACGCTATAGCAGTATCTTCAGACTCTATCGCAGTATCTGCTGACTATAGCAATCTTTGGAAGGACATTGATCAACCAGGTATAGTGATAACTGTTGTGTTGGCCGACTCTCTGAGTTGCATTACATTTCTAAGTTTGCTAAGTTCTCTATCACCTTGTTCCTGCTGTAAATTTCATCCCCACCCTCTCGCCCGTTATGGCAGCCCCTCCCCCCTCCCCTCCCTCCCCCCCTCGGATTAGCCGAGGTCACCCCACCCTCTCGACATTTAATTGCAAATTCCATCCCTAGTCCCGCCCACTTACCCTTGGGCTATACCCACCACAAACGTATATAACCTTTGGTTGCAGTAGCTCTCTCGCTACATTTCCTATTGCCTCATCAGTCCGCCTGCTGTATTGTTTCACCTGAAGACGATGGCTTGTGTTGATATCGAAACGTCGTGATATATTCGTTCTTTATCTATCTACGTGACTTTACCAAAAAAAAACAAAGAGTATGAATTCCTGCAGTCACGAAAGCTTCAAATCAAGATTATATAATAGTACTAACTTCACAGCATGTAGTGGTGAAGCCTAGTCTCGTGCATCTACGGACTATAGTAGTATCTACCAATCCTATAGTTGTAAGTGCACACATTGGAGTGGGGGGGGGGGAGAACATCACACTTTGAAGAATTTACCTCAGCGTCGTGTGTATTTTTCTGCATTTTTAACGCGAATGAGAATTCCCCCCCCCCCTACCGATCGCGTGTGTGTGTTGCTAGGGCAACCACGGGTCAGCTTTCTCGCGAATGCGCAGATGCGTAGTAATATAATAATTAATAGTATTAAATTGTTAATTTAACTATTTTAAACTTGATGGATGTGAAATAGGAATAGCGCTGGCTATCGCGTAGTATCTGGATACATTTTTTTAAACATAAACCCCACAGTTTGCGAGTTAAATCCATCGCAATTTGCATACACAGACAGACGGACAGACACACAAACGGACAAAAAATGACTTATATAGGTAAGGTAATGTGCAAACACATACAGACCATACTTATAGAGGCTTCATTCCAGAATGCGTCCCGAGCTCTTACCCGGGCCCCTTACATATCCTCTACCCCCTTTCCAGCAAGTTCTCCTCTTTTCCTCCAATCCCCTTTTCCAATGGTTATCAACCATTCCTTATTAATTATTTTAATCTTCGCGCCTATTCCTTTTGCACCAATCTGATTTTAATGTTTCGATGCCTTCCAATCAAATTGGTGCGTCATGTCACTGACCAAGTCAGTTGTCAGTGGCTCTGCTAATTTTAAACTTGGCCTGCCTGTGAAGTCCTTAAAGACTTCTGGCATACTACCCCACACATAGACATAGGGTTGGCTGCCAGGCATTGGGGTATGAACCAGTCAAGATCAGTTTCCGAATATTAAAGCAACTCAAATCAGAACTCTACGCAAAAATGAACTTGCATATTGACCCCATGGTGCAGTGAGTGTTAGATCACCCATCGAGGGGTGGGGTTGCGTGGGATCATAGATCCCCCGCTGCCCCCCCCCCCCCCCCCCGTTGGTAGCGCCGAGGGGTTGAGCCAGTACATGGCTCAACCTTGAAGCGCGACTTCCTTGAGCCAATACATGGGTCGACCTTGAAGCATGACTTATTTGACCCGGGATGTTGGAATACGTCCAAATAGTACTTGAGAGGTGTGTGATTTCATGGGCACTTAAAGGTTTCAGACCTCGCCCTATCACCGCTTGCTTGATGGGATGGTTGCACGGTGGCATGAGACCTGACGTTAATGTTGTATCAATGGGTGTGTGTAGAACCAGTCTGATCGCCACGTTTGTTGTGCATCTGTCGCATGTGAAACCGTTTTTTCTCCACCGGGCGGGATCCCTTCATCCCCACTACCCAAGGGCCGGGTGGCTGATGTGTCCGACGAGCTGGGGCGTGCGTCTGCGGAGGTCGTGCCTCAGGAGTTTTCAGGTTTTCCGCCCACAGGATCCCAGCACCTGGTACCCTTGGAGTTTCCGGTTGCGCCGACCGGATGTGGATTGGGGAGAGTGGAGCAGCCGTCACCCGGGTGTTGGGGGGTGTACATTGTCTAGGGGTTGTTGGTCATGTGTTTGCGGAAATATTGTTTTGGGTGCTTCTCAGTTGATGTACATACTGTCTGGGCGACGGTTGCTGCTTTGTTGCTTTTTGGAAGGCATTCTTTTTTTGGTTATTGGTTCTTGTTGCTGTTGTTATGGTTAAAACACAGCCGGGACGGCTGTGTTTTACCAAGGAGGGGGGGGGGGGTGATGTTGCTATGGTGTTTAGCGCCAGCTAGTCACAAGAGTGTAAATTGATGTCTTGAGTCTCTCTCTGGCACAAGAGTGGATATGGCATGGAAGCGGGCCCGAGGGGGCATAGTTCTGGTGAGGGTCGGAGAGAGAGTGAGGACGTGATACTCTGTGTGAACCCGAGATGGCATGTGGCCAGGGCAGGGTAGCAAGGGGGCCCAAAAAGGGGCTCGATGGACACGTGATATGGGCCAGAGCGTTCTAGTAGGATCTAGAAGGGGGTGTGGCCGAGGGCGGAGCCAGGCCTTGCTCAGGAGCATAAAGGGGCAGTCCCGAGAAGGTTTTGGGCTCTCTGTTGGAATGGAACCCGCCGGTGCTACGTCTCTTCCTCGGTCTTCGATGTCACGCTCGGCATCGTGGGTCAGGCAGTATGTGACTGACTGACCCGGTTATGTAGTCTAGTTAACTGTGTAGTTATCACCTCTATGTAGAACCCGTTGTAACGTTTAAGTAGTAGCCCTGTTAGGGTGTTGTAATGAACGTGTTGCCTCCAACTCCAGTGTGTGTCTCCATATAACACACTACAAATGGAACCAGAACCAGTCCACCTGACCTGTATTCCACAGAGGTCCAGACGGTACCGGTCCAGCTCCTGATATAGGAGTGGCAGCCTCTCCTCGGCAGTGAGCATGTGAACATTCAATATACTCTTTGGGTCTTTCGGTAAAGTCACGTAGATATAAAAAAGTAAAAATCACGACGTTTCTATCTCAACACAAGCAATTATCTTCAGGTGAAAAAATACAGCAGGCAAACTGCTGAGGCAGGAGAAAATACAGAAGTTCGCCTGCTGTATTTTTCACCTGAAGACGATTGCTTGTGTTGCGATCGCAACGTCGTGTTTTTTTTCTATGACTTTACCAAAAGACCCAAAGAGTATGAATTCCTGCAGTCACAAGTGAAGATTTAACATTCAATGTGGCCATCTGCAGTGACTTCCAGCTGTTTCTGGAGGAACCCTGGGGGGGAGGGGGGGTTGGTCAGGAGATGAGCTCCATGAGCATAAGAGACAATATAGGCGTTTTTTCCAATGGCATGGCTCATATCACACCAGTGATGTGAGCCATGCCACTCACATACAAAGATCCCCCATACTGTATAACCTTAACAGACTTTGGGGCAAGTGCTGTTAGCAATCACTGATGAAGGCCGGTACAGCACATGAGGAGGCAGATGGCCAGCACCATGTCTGGGTGCTTCTCCCTAGTGCCAATGTTTAGACACTACCAGGTACTTATTTGAGACTGAGTCGATGTAGGGGAGACCCAGGATTCGTGCACTGGTGAGCGGAAATTGAACTTGGGTCGCTAGGTCCGTAGCGCAGCAAGCTTACAGAAATACCACTGTTCCCCACATACAAAACACACTCGTACATCCTAACACTAACCCTAACACTCATACATATAAATACAGATTTTAAACTCTCTTTTCATTAAAAAGGTTTAAAAAAAAAAGACTAACCGTAACCTAATGCTGTGCTACGACTGCATATCTCCCACGGGTGATCTCGTCACCATGTCACACTACTGCATTGTAGCACTGCACAGATAAAATGTGTAAGTGACGAGAAAACCCATCATCACAGAAAAAGTGCAGCCTGGAAAAATCAAACAACACGCAGAAACGTGCACACAAAGCACTCGGACTTTGTGCATTATGTACAAATCATCAGAAGTTCTTTAATCATTTGCATAATGGTCGACTTGTAATGTCACCATCAAAATAACGAGCAAATGTGACCGACTGCCAAGCTGCAGTAATAGAGATAGACAACTGTGGACTGGTCCATGTAAGCACCATGTAAACACAGCACGACTCATCGCTGTAAAACAGTGAGCCTTGCCAATGTGTCATCTCTGCCAACGAGCAACGCATGATAGGAAACTGCCATAATGGAGAAGTATTTTAATTAGCCGTGGCATTTGGTTTGAGGCGGTGCAGCCAACACTGAATGAGAGAGGGATGGGAGCCCTTCCATTGGAGCTGCTCACAAAGATCATGCATGGAACCTCCCTTATCCGGCCACTTACCCAGCGGGGTGGACAGCTGAATGTATTTAGAATCATAACACAACACTTGTATAATCTGGACATTGCTTTCAAAGCACTTCAGCAGATTATATTATTACAATTTGTGGTTAAACATTCCACCTAGGTGTTGTTGGTAGTGGATTTACCAGAGGCAGCAACAGTAAAACCAACGGTGGGGAATTACAACTACCTGGTGCTGACACGCCGGTTCTAGCAAGAGCTGTGATGTACGTGAAACTCCAGCTTGATGGCCAACGAGGGTGTCATATACACACGTACATCACACTACTTATATCTATTCTACAAAGATAATATAATTGGCAGCATGATCCATTGCACTTGATAGGACAACACCAGAATTAGAAATAAACCCACGAGTGAGTGGAGACACCAGAAAAAATGTGGCTACTTTCTGCGTGCAACCCAGGGCTGTGTGCAAGGCAATAAGGTAGGTCTTGTAATGTGTCTATGGGAACACCATCATTTTCCAGCTGTGGATGTTCTTGTGAGCGAGCTTCCCCAGAGTGTGTTGGCATCGATTGGGTTCCTGTGCTGGCCTCCCCAGCAGCCTGGCGGGCTGTCCCACTGCCAGTCAGCAACGAGCAGAGCGTCGATCGCACGTCCCCCAGCATGCGATACAAATCTTCGCGAAAACGGACACCCACAAAGGCGTAGAGCAGCGGGTTGAGGCAGCAGTGCGTGAAGGCAAGCGTCTCCGTTGTCTGCCTGGCGTAGTGCAGCGCCTCGTGCGTGCGGCAGCCGAGCCACGTTCCACGCAGGTCAGCGAGCGCGACCACCAACAGCACCGCGTTGTAGGGCAGCCAACACAGGAAGAAAAGCAGCACCAGGGCCACGATGACACGCACTGCCTTGCGCCTTGAGCCGCGGCTCTTGGTGTGTGCCAGAGTGACGGCAATGCGGACGTAGCAGGCGAGCATGATGGCGAACGGCAGGAGGAAACACGCCGCCGTTTGAAAGACGGCGAGCGCCGCCTTCCGCACATGCCCGCCGGGGCCCGCGTGGAGGCTCTGACAAACTGTGCGCGGTGCGGAGTCGGGGGTGTCCGCTTGAAGCTGCGCACGGCTGGAGAGCACATCCAGGAGGCTGAGCAGCGTCGCCGCGGACCACGCACCGGCGCAGGCGACCCACGCGCGCCGGCGCCGCCACCGCACCCCACGACAGCGCGTGGCGCGCACCACAACAAGGTAGCGGTCTACACTGAGGCACGTGAGCACGAAGACACCGCAGTAGAAGGAGACGCTGTAGAGTGCCGTGGCCAACTTGCATGCCCACTCACCAAACGGCCACTCGCGGGCAGCGTGGCGCGCCCAGAGCGGCAGCGTGGCGACCAGCAAGAGGTCAGCGGCAGCCAGGTTGAGCAGGAAGACTTGCGTCGTGTCCCATGTGCCGCTGCCATAGCCGCGACGCTGCCGTCGAACCAGTACCAGAAACGCCAACCCATTGCCCACAAGGCCCAGGATGAACACGATCGAGTAGAGCACGGGCAGCAGGGTCTGGCCCAGCCGCTGGGCGCCATCCGAGCACAGCGCGCCGCTGTCATCCTCGTAGTCGTCGGTGGGGCCCCACACGGAGCTTGAGTCGAGCGGGTTGGCCGTCGTGAAGCCTGAGTCTACATCCATGGCCTGTGCTGCGAGGGACCGAGACCAAGAAGATGGCAGAGCAGACTGTGTGAGAGGATTCTCACCCCCCTACAGTGACTCATGCTTGCGGGTTTGAGGGGAGCAGCGGCGTGGTTAGCAAATTGTAATTATGACAAGCCAAGTTGCCATGTTATGATGCTCATCTGTGGCAATCTGCAAATAACAATAAAAAATCATGGTCTTCTTCCCATCGGGGCCGTCCATAAATGACGTCACACACCTAGGGACATTTGTGACGATGTGTGACGAGGGGGGGGAGGGGGGTTTGAGAAATGTGACGTCACATCAAAATGCGCAACTTTAAATAAATATAAAGAATATAATTGTTATAACAACACTCATTTTGATTAATTTTCATTATTAACTATTTGAATATTTAAATATACTGAGGTCACTTATTTATTCCATGAAGGAGCATTTTGCTTATCGGAGAATGGAGAAGCATACATTTTGTAATTTTTTTAATGATTGTTATTAAACATTTTGATTTTAATGATTCTTCCAGGGCTTTTCATTCTGTGGAATGAATATGTGATTGTTATAATTGTACTCTCCATTTTGCTTCGTTCTACTACAAAGTTTCAAGTATTTTTTATAGTTTTAATTACATTAAATATTTTATAATGATAAGAGACTTTCAATATAACATTCTGAACATCTGCAGTTTTAGTTAGACGTTAAATATTTTCAAGTGAATTTTATGCTAAATTTCAGCTTCCCTTTTAATACGTGTTTTCTCCTACAACATCAGAGTGCAGCGCCACATTAAATACGCACTATAATGACAATTTTTTTTTTTAAAAAGCCAAGCCATGATAATGACAATAGTTAAAAGTGATTTGAAGCATGTTTTATTTTCAAAATGGAAATATAGCTTTGTGACGTCATATTTGAGGGGGGTCTGACTTTTTATGACGCCGTATGACGAGGGGGGTAGGGGGGTCAAAAATCTGCCAAAATCGCGTGACGTCATTTATGGATAGCCCCATATCCGTCTGCACACAAAATTAACGTATTTTGTACACAACAGCCGCATGGCCTTTTTGGAGTGCATCATTTCAGCAGCAGTCAAAACAAGCAAACTGGACCGGTTTCAACATTCATTGTTGTATTACCTATTTTATATTTTATATTCTCTATGACGATAATTACGATCTGCGATTAGCATATCAACTGAATAGATAGCAATACTACGGAGAAAATAATATCAGTGTTCTCATGAATGAAGTAATCAGACAAATCTTGAGACTGCCTCTGCTTGCTCCCAAACCCAACCCGGCTCAACTCCTCTCGCCACCCTCTATCTCTGCGGTCATCTGTGCCTGCTGCAGTGAACGTAAGCATGTGGCAGGAAGTGAGCGCGCCCGCCTCCTTGTGGCTGTGGTGCCGTGGCACGAATGTGTAAACCCCAACCCCTTTCTGGGAAACTTCAAAGCGAACGCGTTAATATTGAACTTCATTTGCACCATACGTAGCCAACCGTGCTAATCGGAGGAGCGAGGAAATAATAACAGTACATGCCAGTGCCATATTAAGCCGGTAGACGCAAAGGCTAAAGGGTAAAGTCATAGAGAAACACAGGGTGCACCCACCCCCTTTTACAGCATTCATCAGCCATTGTCCATCCACAGCTGGATGAATTCCTCATGCCATTGCTATCCTTCACGGTCTTGTGATGCCACAATACACCTCACTCCCACACATGAGTTGATCTCATCGGTCCATATCTGCAGTGGTCGTCGCCCTTTCCCCTCTGAGAGCATAATTACATTGTTAATTCTCAGAAAAGTGTCTAAATATGTCATTGCTTTTAAACGGCATAAGGCATCACTATTTTCCCTAAAATGTTTTTTTACTACGATAATGAATATGCCGTTGAACGAACCCGAACACAATTCCTTTGTCGAGATCCAGCCAGAGTGGTAGAGCCAGTCCGTTCTTCTATTCTTTAGTATGATGGCAATATGTTCAGGAGCCAATGTCGATGTGTGCTAGCCATGAGAGAGCTTCAGGAAAGAGTTTGTGTAGTTTTTCTATTCTTCCATTGAAGGAGTTGTTGTATATGTCGGATTATGAAATTTTGATAAAAAATAATAAAACTTATAACTATGCGTAATGCACAGTAATTATGGTAATGTATATAATTATATGCATAAATTATGATAATCGCGGAGATAATGTATGCGAATGTTTGAATTTATGTTAACGTATGCAGTTATGATAATTATGGCTTAGCTTCGTTATCCAGAGTTGCATCAATCAGGATAAAACGATTATCTTTGATTAAACATTTATTGAGTATCTTAGTGTGTTTATATTATGTTAGGTCTCCAAATTCATATCTCAACGCAGGATACAGTTCTTATAAATAAGAGTTTTGCATGGACTTGGAAAGAAACACTCAAACGCTTTTGTTAAGCAATTTTTATTCTAAACCAAAATATGACACTCTAATATGCAAAGGCGGAAGCATACGTCAATAGATTAATGAGCAAGATTATTCAATTAACGAAAATGAATGACTAAAACACTTCTTATTCATGTAACTCGACGGCAGCAACTGCTTTGCACAATCAGTTGATATTGAACGCACCACCTTGAAATGGCAACCCTTTTTGAAACACAAATATATCTTTTTGAAAGTCTTATTCGTGTGCGTGTTGTGTGTGCGTTGTCCCCTTGTAAAATTTAAAAAATTTTAGAGCCGGGAGTTGTGTCGGAGCTTGTGGGGTGGGGGAGGGGGATACAACCAGCGGCCAGAGAGGTTTCCTCTCGCTCGGGCATGGCAGCAGCGAGCCCGTCGCCGGCTTTCTCCGCAGCTAGATTGAGCGGCGTTGGCACGATGTTCCTTGAAGAAACTTGGTTGCTTGGTGCTTGATGGCGCCCAGGGCTTGGTGCTGCTCGTGCACTCTCTCCACTGCTAGATGAGTGGCGTCGGCACGACGCTCGCGGTCGTGGTGCGCGATGATTCCATCGTCGGAAGTGCGCAGCTCATCCGCAAGATGACGAGTCGGCACGACGCTCGGTGACGCCCGGGTCGTGCTGCTCGTGCGCTCTCTCTCTCCACTGCTAGATGAGTGGCGTCGGCACGACGCTCGCCGTCGTGGTGCGCGATGATTCCGTCGTCGGATAGCGCGCTGCTCCGCCACCGCTGGACGTCTTCTCTGTTCTCAGCGGGTGCTGGTCGATATGTGTGTGTATTAAACACACGGCGCATTCGATGGCGCTCTCCTCTTCCTCATTTTCTCCGTGCTCTCTACCTGATCGCTGCCAGCTTCACACGGACACCCGCCCTTACTTCAGGGCTGCGTTGGCTCAGACTCTGGACGACGCGGCTGTGCACGCTCACCGGCTTGGAGCGCTGTGGCGATGAATGATGCTCTCGTTCGTTGCTGGGTTGACGTTGGGTTGACGTTGGGTGTCTTCGCTGGCTCGAGAATGATAACTGGAATTTCGCAAGCTTCACTCGCACTTAACCACACCTCGCCACTTCGTTCTGCGAGAAGCGACACTGGCCATCGGTATCGGTGTTTGCTCCCTCACGACGGCACCGCCAGCCGGGGCATGGCTGAAACCCAGCCTCGACCCAGGCTGAACTCAGACTTCTGCGACTCTGACGACCCCTCCTCCTCCCATCTTTCCTCGAGGCACGATGCGCCCCAGCTCCTTTGCGAGCCTCCCTCACAACGCCGCGTCGCAAGCCGAGAGCAAGACTGAGCGCGACTCGAACCAGACTGCCCTCAGATTTCTGTACGTTTGTGTTTAAAACTCAAAAACGTGAACCCCTCCCCTCTGCGCATCTCTTGCGAGAGAAGCAACAACAGAAAAACAGACACCCTCGGAATGTCAGGTCATAAACCCTTTTCGCGACCCTCTAACTCCCTTGCTCCCCCTGCGTGGGTCATCCCGAGGCAAGACCCCTCTCCGGATTTGATGGTTGGCCTGTTTGTGCCGAACCGTTGGAAGACAAAGGTGGCGGGGAGGTCCTGACGTTTGCTGTTTTTGATGGCATACCACGTTTACCAGATGCCTGGCGTGGAATGTGACGAGTAGTGGGTTGTTTTCATTATTTAATAAAAAAATATATATATATTTTTTGGCCTAATTATTCCTAATATACATTTTTGTAAAAAGGGGCATAAATACAACAGAGTGCACAATACAGTGGCTTACTATATGGTCCATGGTTTTGGTTGCATGGCCATTACTGTGGCTTTTCTTGATTTGTATTTATTTATTAAGGAGATATGCATATCGGCCTGATGATGTTCTAATGTGATTGATTGTTCTACCAGTGATTGATTGTTACACCAATGTTCCACTCTGTTAGCCAGCTTTCTTCTGGATCTGGGTGACATTCTGAGATGTTACAGCATGATTTCAGAAGGGGGATCGGATGAGGTACATTTTTTAGGTTGATGGATAGATGATTGTAGTTTGCAAGAAAACATCCAAACTCCTTTGAAGTTTGCATGTCTGTGCAGAACAGGGAGCCAGGGGACTGGTGTCAGGTTCAGTTTCCTGGTTATGAAGCGCATTGCGTTTTCTAAATTTGCATCTGGCAGTGTTGTGTATGAGCTCCTGGATCAGGCTGGAGTGCAGTGACTCTGTCACTGAGTAGATCATCAGTGAGAGGGCGGCAGGTTGCAGCGCATCAGCTGAGGTGTCCCAGGTCGTTCCTGTTTCTGTAGCAGGGCGATTTTTTTACGTGGTCTTTCAACACATCGTTTTAATGTGTGAAGGTGAGGCTTCTATCCATGATAGCCCCTAGATACCTTGAAGTGTGGTCATATCACACTGGGCTACCACACAGAGACACAGCAAGAGTGGCATTTTCTGCATGATTCTACAGGTGGTGTTTCCAGAGACGGTAATGTGCTTCCAATAATAACGAGCTGAGCTGTGCAGAAACGGCTATGTCGTCTGCACATGAAGTTGGGAGAGTTATGTACATGGCAGGTCACTTATGTAAAATTGTGCTAGTACC